TTCAAAAAAAAAATCACACAAAATAATGATCTTTTGTGAAAATTATGTGAAATTCAAATTTTCAAGTCTGTAAAGTTTTATTGTAACACTTCTTCTTTCATTCGCTTATGAGTTGTCCACAGCTGCTTTGGGACTATGGTGGCAGAGCTGAATAACTGCAAGAAACCGAAACAATCTGTAAAGCCTGAAGTATTTACTCTCTGGCCCTGGGCACAAAAGGCTGGTCATAGCATGTGTTATGACAAAAGGGATTAAATTAATCTCTTAGATATGCTTCTCCAAATGTAACTGCCATATTTGACTGTGGTAATATTCACTTTTAGGTTCCCTAACAAGAGAAGCTTCCCCGCAACCTGGTGGTACTATGAGTGGTGCTTTATATATGTTGTTTAGTCTTCATAAAATTTTTAAAAATTTAATTATTTTTAAACTATTTATTGATTTGTCACAATATTGCATGTTTTATGTTTTGCTTTTTTGGCCATAAGGCATGTGGGACCTCAGCTCCTTGACCAGGGGTTGAATCTACACGCCTTGCTTTGGAAGGCAAAGTACGAACCACGCTGCTGCCGGGGAAGTCTCTAGTCTTCACAACAATTCTGACATGCATGCTACCACTACTCCCATCTCACAGAGGAAGAACAAGCACAGGAAGCCTCACTGGTGACTGCACACCAGTGGCGAGCCAAGGCCGGACTCGGACCCAGGAGGTCTGGCTCAAGAGCTCGCTCACTCACACTCACTGGTCAAGCACCACGGGCTGCACGACTTCACACCTGACTCCCATTAGATTTTCAAAGAAAGAACTTCAACAGAATTGACTTACCATTTAATTTCTGAAATTTAATTAAGAACTGGTCGAGGGCAGTGGTTCAGACAGTAAAGAATCCATCTCAATGTGGGAGACCTAGCTTTGAGACCTAGGTTGGGAAGGTCCCTTGGAGGGGGGCATGGCAACTCACTCCAGTATTCCTGCTGGAGAATTCCCATGGACAGAGGAGCCTGGAAAGCTACAGTCCACAGGGTCACAGAGAGTTGGACACGACTGAGCGACTAAGCACAGCACATGTACATATATCTGGGTTGGGAAGATCCCCTAGAAAAGGGAATACTGGAATACTCCAGTATTCTTGCCTGGAGAATTCCATGAACAGGCAAGTCTGGAGGGCTACAGTCCATAGTGTTGCAAAGAGTGCAACACAACTTAGGGACTAGCTAAAATAATAAACAAAACAAAAAACATATAGGTGTGTGTATACATACATGTATATATATATATATATGTATGTATATACAGCAAGTTATTAGAAGGGAAGACACAAAAATAAACTCAAAATGGATTAAATATCTAAACATAAGACCAGAAATGATTAAACTCCTAGAGGAAAACACAGGCAAAACTCTCTGACATAAACCACAGCAGGATCCTCTATGACCCACCTCCCAGAATATTGGAGATAAAAGCAAAAATAAACAAATGGGACCTAATTAAAATTAAAACCTCTGCAGAACAAAGGAAAGTATAAGCAAGGTGAAAAGACAGCCTTCAAAATGAGNCCGTGAATGCATATAAAAGGGTCAGACTGCTTTATGTTTCTGATCCTATGAAAGGAGAATTATCCCTGCCATCCTGAAGAAATCAGGAACTTAGAAATACTCCCAATATACAGGAATGAACGTGGGAACAGGTAGAACACACACAGAGAAAAATCTTCCCAGGATGTCTGCCTCTGTTGCCAAACCACAGCTGTTAACATGATTAGATAATTCAGAGGACAAGCAGCACTGTTAGTTTAAATGTTTAGACAATTCATTTTACGTTGTATTACAAGCACAGGGTTTTTTTTTTTTCTGGTTCCCCACCCCACTCTCCATCGCTGTCATATTGTCTACTCACGTACTTTTGCCACAAGACAAATACAGCAAAAAAAAAAAAAAAAGGCAACTGGTGGTAGGAGGTTTCCCCAAAAAATAAGGGCAACCCCTTAGAGCAAGTTTATGATGTACCAGGCACTATGTGAAATGTTTTGAATACATGATTATCTCACTCAATTCATTACAACAAACTTTTGACCCATTCTCACATCTGTGTGCTAACTGGAAACCAGCACAAAAAAGTCAAAGAGCTCAGCGCCAAAGGTCACACAGCGAGGGACGCCAGTCAGTTAACAGATGCTATTCCTCTGGGAGGTCACTCAACCTGAGCACGTCTGAGCACAGTGGTCTTCTGGGTCACGGAGGAAGGCTAAAGAGGATCAAGGAGAAATAACACCAATCTCAAGATTCTTCATTCTACTCTGAGAAAATGCAAAGAGACAGAGGAAAACAATTGAATGGGAAAGACTAGAGATCACTTCAAGAAAATCAGAGATACCAAAGGAACATTTCATGCAAAGATGGGCACAATGAAGGACAGAAATGGTATGGACCTAATAAAAGAAGAAGATATTAAGAAGAGGTGGCAAGAATACACAGCAGAACTATACAAAAAGGACCTTCATGACTGGGATAAGCACAATGGTGTGATCAGTCACTTAGAGCCAGACATCCTGGAATGTGAAGTCAAGTGGGCCTGAGGAAGCGTAACTATGAACGAAGCTAGTGGAGGTGATGGAATTCCAGTTGAGCTATTTCAAATTCTAAAAGATGATGCTGTGAAAGTGCTGTACTCAATATGCCAGCAAATTTGGAAAACTCAGCAGTGGGCACAGAACTGGAAAAGGTCAGTTTTCATTCCAATCCCAAAGAAAGACAATGTCAAAGAATGCTCAAACTACTGCACAATTGCACTCATCTCACACACTAGCAAAGTAACACAGAATTTTCTAAGCCAGGCTTCTACAGTACGTGAACCATGAACTTCCAGATGTTCAAGCTGGATTTAGAAAAGGCAGAAGAACCAGAGATCAAATTGCCAACATCCGTTGGATCATCCATCAGAAAAGCAAGAGAATTTCAGAAAAACATCTACTCCGCTTTATTGACTACACCAAAGCCTTTGACTGTGTGGATCACAACAAACTGTGGGACATTCTTCAAGAGATGGGAATACCAGACCGCCTGACCTGCCTCCTAGAAATCTGTATGCAGGTCAAGAAGCCAGTTAGAACCAGACATGGGAGAACAAACTTGTTTCAAATTGGGAAAGGAGTATGTCAAGGCTGTATATTATCACTCTGCTTATTTAACTTATATGCACAGTACATCATGAGAAATGCCAGGTTGCATGAAGCACAAGCTGGAATCAAGATTGCCGGGAGAAATATCAATAACCTCAGATATGCAGATGACACCACCCTTATGGCAGAAA